TGTCACATGTTCAGCTTTTTCTGTCGGCCATCCCAGATAGCAAGGAATGTTCCCACACCGTTAGCTTCCCTACATTCCCTACAAGTTCTAACTATGGTTTAACAAAAATAAGAACACCATAAGGATGTGGATTATTTGAAATAATGTTGAGGCACAGATTATTTTACAAGATTACAAAGGAAGAACATTTTTAAAGCAATATTCGCAACATTTCTTTTTCTTCGTTTTCATGTTGAAAATGTTTTAAAGATGTCATTAAGACTCGCGTTTTTATAATACGTAAATAAGTTATTGAGGTTACAGATTATACAATATTCTTTTATAAAACATTAACACATTGTTACATGGTAACAAAGGAGAAACATTCTCAGTGCAACATTTTGACAATGTTTTGTCTCTCTGTCTCTCTTTTAAAGATCACAGTTACCAATTTACACTTCACAGACAAACGGTATGTTTTCCAAAGTTCTGAGGAAAATCCTTTCAATTTGGTTCACAGTCAATGACAGTCACCATGGGCATCCGGTCAAGGATGACGAAAACACAGTCCTTTCAAATCTTTATTACTTCACAACTATTCTGAGTGTGGTCTATACAGAAACAATGAGATTCTGGTGACTGGAGGTGCAGCTGTTGGTGTACAGGGAGAAGAGCAGAGAGAAAGAACGCAGCCTTGGGGGGATCCGGTGCTGATGGTCCGAGAGTCATTGTTGTAGAAGAACTACTAATTGAGTAAAATAGAATCAAAAACTGGATTAGGGTTAGTTTTTCTGTTTTTCTCCCTTTGATGCTTTGATATGATCTCTCTGTGTGTGTGTGTGTGTGTGTGTGTGTGTGTGTGTGAGGAGTTGATGAGGTATATTTTCTTCTGATAACACATACATTAAATCTCTCTCTGTGTGAAAAACAAATTCACATACTGGAATGTAAGAAACATCTGCTTTTATGTTCATGGTTGTTCTCATATGCAGGTAAAAAGACAGCTATATTTATGTCTGTTGTCATGTAAGGAGAATATACTGGCATATATATAATAGAGAAATTCCCATAGCAAGAAATTCCTTTAGTTTTATAGCCTACAGAATGTTTATATGTAACTATATAAGTGCCGGACTGGAGGAAAAAGGGGAATTTGGCCAGAAGATGCATCCGACACACTCACTTGTTTTTGTTTAATAAAGTCCTAAATTAAAGGAAGAAGAGTGGCGGACCTTTTCTTTTTCATCCACAGACCAATTTTTGGCAGCCGCAGAAATCACCACATTGACAACAACAGATAAAAACATTCTTCAACTGAATCAACCAACAGCAGTTACATAAACAACAACATGTGTCTTTCAGCAGAGATCTTTAATGCTTTTGTTCTCTACACTAGTTCAATAAGTGGAAACACCAGTTGGGGAGGAGAGTCCTACTCACCCCCCAGAACTCAGAACTAATACATAGCAGGCAACTATTCAGTGAACTCTTTCCAGCCTCCAACACGGTGAAAGACAAACGAGTAAACTGCTCACATGTGGTTTGGATCGCCATAACAACACACAGGAAGAATGACAGCTAATTCTCCTGAGAACTATCAGATATTGATCTGTTGATTGGCGGCCAGATACAGCGATTGGTTTGTGTACGCTTTTAAACAGTGTGACAGTGTTTCACAGAAATATACCTTAAAGACCTTAACTTAACTTTAACCTTAACTCTAAATAGGTGTTTATATTTTTATATATAGGTTAAAGCGGTTTACAGCAGTGGTTCTGCTGTCAGAGAGAAAGCTGATGAAGAGTCATATAGTTGGTGGTGTGTGACTGAGCCATAAAGAGTTCCACACTTTCACATATCAAAGCATCAAAGGGAGAAAAACAGGAAGACTGTAAAATCGTTCACAGTAAAGTTCAAATCAAATCAAACATAAATGAGGCAAAAGTAAAGTAAACTGCTCACATGTGGTTTGGATCACCATAGCAACACACAGGAAGAGTGACGGCTCAGAACCGTCAGATATTGATCTGTTGATTGGCGGCCAGATAGAGCGATGGGTTTGTGTATGCTCTTCAACAGTGGGCGGGACACTTTATCAGTGTGACTCTAAAGTTAACTGCAGGCCACACACTGTCAGCATTATCTTTATTAGAATAAAACTTTATTTAACAGAGTGAAATCCTTCACAATAAAACACTTCAATGGACAAACAGTGCAACAGCAGATGTTTCCTTAGAGGTTAGCTGCAGCTGCACTGTAAAACCCGATAAGTTGAA